CTTAAATGCTGTTTTTTCATTGCGGCGTATTACAGGCAAGCTATAACGCACTCAAAAATTTTCGAAAGGAAGTGAAAAACATAATGTTCTACAACACAAAAAATTTGTCGTTAGATCATGATTTTGCTCTCTTTGGGTGCATTCTTGCAAAAAAATTCAGAAACACAAATTGAAACAAAAAGTAGGAAAAAGCGTGAAGAAAAGGGTTAAGGGGACTCTCAGGCTGAGTGAAAAACCAAATTCAATCGATCACACCAAATGGATAAAATGTAAGGCAAAAAATTGTTGCGAAGTCCTTGATACAATTTCCCGCTATCATACTGCATAACTTGCAGTATCTGTGACTGCAATCTAAAGTAAAACCAATGCGGTCTGGCAGGTAAATTTTCATCCTTTTTCTGAAATCATTTTGAGCAAAGCTAACATACAGGGGAAGCCAACAGAAATTCAATTTGGTAGTTTTTCATCAAAAGTTTCGGAAATTTTATCACAAGGAGAAGTCAAGCTTTACTATCTCGACAGTAATGCACTAATAATCGCAAAAAGGTTCTAAGAAGTCTAATTGCTCCGATGGGGAGGAACTTTGTAATCATGTAAAGTTTTAGTTATTTTTTCAATTTTTCGTTTTGTTTTCCCCACAAAATCAAGTACCACAATTATAAATTCGAATGATTTGAGTGATATATCATCTTAAAGCCCCTTTAAATCTTGATTCGATAGTCGCTAACAAAGTTTGCATAAATTTTTTCAGTTTCGAGAAAAACCGGTTTGAAGCATTTGGTTTTTTGGTAAGATTTTTTGAGCCAAAAAAGTGAGAATGTGAGCTTAAATTAGTCTTTTTATTATTAATTTAAGCCGTGAAAACTTCGTTTTATTCCATTAAAGTTTTTTCGTGGTTCATTTGCGCCATTTTTGAAAAACGTTTTCGAGTTTTTGAAAATTAAAATAAAATTATCAGTATTTCTCTTTTTTCTTGTCATTTTTCTATGAAAAACTGATTGTTTTTAATTTTTTACTATGACTCTCGAATATGCCTAACTTCTATTTATTGCTTAGATGTTTTTATCACACAACGCAGCAAAACGACAGTAATTTAAAGAGTTTTTTTTCTCGTTTTTTAACTTATGGTCGTTTTTTTTTTTAGTTTTTGAAGCTGTCTTCATCTCCTTCCTACTACCCTAAAAACCTTTTTTTAACTTTTGAAGCTGTTTTTATCTCCTTCCTACAACCTTAAAAAGACATTGCAAGGCACTCTTTTTGAAACTATCGTTGGGAACACGAATCTGTTAACAAGTTATTGAATACGCATCAAAGTTATTGGGCATAAGCCGGCTTTTTGAAATTACAATTTTTGAGACAAAATCAAGCCAAAAAGTGCAGCAATCGTAGTGAAACGAAGATTTTAAAATTTCGGGCCATAAACAAGTGTTCCTACAAAAACCTAAACATTTTATGAGAAGATTCGAATTTTCGATTTAATTTCAGACGCGCAAAAAAGATAACACGAAAGCTTTTTTGCATTGTGACAATTTTTACTTTAATTTAAAACTAAATTTTTACGCTCGGGCAAATAAAACGAAGCGCTATCGAAACTGGACGCCATGATTAAATATAACTTTTTTTTGTAGATTTCTGGGTATATACAAATTGATATGAGTAACATAACGCTACGAATATATTCTATAAATATAAATTGGTTAAGGGCGATTCTGCGAACATAAGTGAATATTTTATACAATTTGCCTTGGACTTTTGCGAAGAGGGGTAGCTAAATTTGTCAAAAAAGTTTTAAGTGTTCTTAAACTTGATCAAGATCAACTTTGATTTCCCCCCAAACCATATGACTAGCCCTTATTTTGTCAAAAATTTCTGCCATGGAAGCAAAACTTTGGCAAAACAACTGGAACACATCTTTTTTTGGCAAACTTGGGATTTTTTTTCCCCTACATCGCCCGAAAAGGTTTTTTGGCGCAAATGCCTCCATCAAAACCAAAAGCGTGATAGGCGGCTTTAGAAAAAAAATGGGTCGTTTGGGCAAAACAGTCATGCGGTCGTACCAAAAATGAGTCCGTCTCGGTCGTGAGGCGTGAAATCTCTGCGAAAAGGCGTCCCCCTTCAAACCCACCACTGTGGTTTATTAAATGGGATAGTTAATGAAAACTTGGAGAAAAATTTTAAAGTGGTAAGCCAGCGGTAGTTGAAAAAAAAACCGTCTAACCAGAAGCAGAGGCCAAATGAACCAACAGAACTGAGCATTGATTAAATCAACTTTGTTAGAGTTTTTGACGCGTTTGAAAGTTTTTCACAGGATAGAAACAAATAAAATGAATCACATCACTTGATCAATATGTGAAGTAAATTTTGATAGATAAAAACCACTGAACGTTTTTGCGCTATCACACATGACTATTTGCAATTTTACTGTTTGCTTTCCAATTTAGTTTTTTAAAAAATTTGCAAGTCAAAATTCATATTTTTGACAATGTTTTAAGACTGAGTTTGCATACAAGAGCAAGCAAAATTGAAAAAACGTAGAAAGTTAATTGAACAGTCTTACATCATCTACTCATGTTTTTGATGATTCTATTAAAAGGAGAAACCAATGTTAACTATATCGATGATTACGAGGCCAAGCTGTGTAATTTGTGAATTGTAAGAGGCCAAAATTTGTTTTGTTGCTGAGTCCCAAAATTTGTTACTTTTCTTTGATCCTTTTTGCTGTTCTGAAATCCACAAACAAATATCAAAAACACTATGCTGCTCAAAATATCTCCAAAAATGGGCGGAATCTGCACCAGAATTCGGAAAACCATGTTGAATCCTTAAGGAAATAATAAAATACAGCCATAGAAAAATTGAACTGTTGCGGATGCAACAACTGGTTTAGTTCAGTAATAAGCAAATTTGCGGAGCCCACTTACATTTTTTGGAATCCACGTACAGTTGTGGAATCCAAAAAAACTAGCTATAATCGCTTGTCGCGGAATCTGCGACAAAACAACAAATGTGCCGACAGATTTTACTTCACAAGTATTTGTACGCGGAATCCACAAAAAAATTGCTATGAGGAATCAAATTAAATTTTGAAGCATGTTTAAACACTTGTCTCTGGATTCCAGAGACATATAAACACCAGACTGTGCGCCTATCCACTGCAGAGTTTGGCCACATAATGATAGATCTAAAAACAAGCAACCTGATCCATGTCTCTGTTTTGTGCATTTTAACTGGGCGTTATCAAAAATGTTACATTTTTAGTTGTCTTTATGTCCCTACTTCATCAAAAAAGTTTAAAAAAAATATGATAAATTACCTTAACTCTTTTTATCCCGACCATTGAAAGTGGGGAGGAAATTTGTGTTCATGTGTGTGTTTTAGTTGACTTTTTTTGCTTTTTGTATTCCAAATTAATTAATTTAAGCCGTGAAAAATTAATTTTACTTAGGTTAAGGTAGTCTTTGTAGTTTTTTAGCGCAATTTTTAAAATCAAAAATTTGAAAATTGAAAAAATTTCCGCAAAAAATTTTACTATGACTTTCGAATATGCGTAAGTTCTATATTTTCGCTCAAACTTTTTTTTCATCACAACATGCAGAAAAAAACGACACCAATTTGAGAAAACATTTTTGTATTTTTTTAAGACTGTGGTCGGAACATTCTGTGCTACCTGCACAATAACCGGCTATCCTTTTTCAGTTTTGTTGTCAATTTTTCCATAACCTCACAATTGGAACAATCAATTTTTTATGCGCATCAGTTGGCTGTTTGAAGTTACATTTCTTCGAGGTAAAATAAGTCAAATTAGGCAGCAAACTTATTGAAATAACGATTGCTAGTTTCAAGTTTTTGGATGCCGTAGAAAGACATTCGTCTGCTTTAGGAGATTTTGAACTCCTTAGTTGTTTATACATGCACAAAAAAAACAGTCGCCACATTTTTCTTTCATTGTGACATAATTAAATAAGTTTTTGTTGGAAAATTTCTCATTTCTTGTTCAAATAAAAGTTATGCCCTCATAAATTGACCCCTTAATATTAAACGTTTTTGGGATATCAATTTTTGGATGTAGATATGACAAACAGAACATATTTTTTTAAAATGAAAGACTAAAATCTTGAAAAAAAATGAGGACTCATTGCACAAGCAGTCGGGAACGGATCTATTTTTTTTTGGTGGGGGGGGGATTGAATTTTGTGGTCGGTCAAATTAATTTACCGAATTCTCTCAGAACATTATAGAGATCTTATTTTGACAAAATGTTCGGGCCACAGGCAGATGTTTGAAAAATAAGATCAAAATACCGTTTTTGGGCGCTTTTTGTAGGGTTTTGACCAAAAAAGTGTGTTTTTGGCAAACTCCCCACTCAAAATTAGGATAGATTTTGGCGGCGAAGGCCAAATATTTCAAGTTTGGTCAGCCAAAAATGGATATCAAAGAGTAGTACCACAAGGGGGTCGAATCATTGATGGGGGGGGACGTAAGAGCTTTTCAAACTGCTTGGTAAGAAATTAAATGTACAAAAAAGGGTTCTAATATTCCATGCTTAGCACCAAACGGATATAGATATAAAAATCTAGTTTGGTTTTTAAAGCTTTTTGTGATCTCAATACTTGGTAGCTGACGCTTTTTGAAGCGAAGTGAAATGGCAAAAACAGTCACACTTTTTGAATGTGGTATAATGAATAATTCATTAGCCCAGAGCTGCTAAAACTCATATAATTAGAGTCGCATCAGTCATTTAAAGACAGAAAACTATATTTAATCATCAGACCTTCAAAAAACTGCCAGTGAAAAAACAACTATTTCCGCTCATTTTAAAAAATATTGTTTGCATGTATATTCTATCAAAGCAAATTCAGTACGAGGATGGTCATCCACAAATGCGATTGAGCTAATTTTTAGCTGGAAAATTTTATCCTTTTAAAAATCTTTTCTCGTTTTTTACTCAGAGCTTTCACCATTTGGAGACGTTTATTTAACAAATATAACAGAGTAAAATAGAATACATCCATGAAGATGGTTTTATGGGTTGGTAATGGTACAATTTGACCAATTTGTTAAATTTTCATTCACGCTTTTTTCGGCTGAGGGGTTTTGAGACAGCTTCTTTTATTACAGGAAAATATTTTTATGTTCACTGAAACAAAGCCCTAGAAAGCACTAAAAACAAACAGAGTTTTGTCTCATTTTACTAGTCGTTTGTCTTCGCTAGGACAGTCTGTCTGTCTTTTGTTTATTATCTTGTTTACAATAAAAAACTGGACGGACATACTTGTAAATGGACGGCTAAAAGGTAATACCTAAAAACCATTATAACTATGTTTTTAAATATTAACAAATTTTAAACAGTGGTGTGTGTAAATGCGGCCGTTTTTTTTTGTCAAAAATTTTGGATTGAGAATACATTAGTTTGCACAATTAGTTTGCATTGGAGCTCATGGTATCTTAATTGCCAAAAGTTGCTTAAATTTAGGGAAAATTAATCGTTTTTTGGCCAAAATTTATGGAAATCAAAACTCAAAAGTGAGAATTTTGGAAAATTTGGTGAGCTACATTGAACGAAGTGTTGTCCAACCACGGCTTAAATTAATCTTACTCAGCGCGCTACTGGCTTTGGCTGGAAAAAATTTCAAGAATGTGAAATTTTGCAAATCGATCATTATCACCTTCAATTTTTTCATCATAATTTTGTATTTACAAAATGATTTCTATACCCAAAGAAACTTTTCCGGAAAATAAATGCTTGCAAAAATATAATTTTTTTTGTTTATGACATAGTCCAGATAATCGAAAAAACTAACAAAAGCTCAAATTTTTAGCCATAAAGTTGAGAAGTCATAGCTTATAGTCGTGGAAGAAAATACCTCAATCTTTTTTGCCAGTTAAGCGATGCTGTCCTTTTACTGCTTCATGGCTAAATTTCAGTTTGTGGTATATCTTGCAAATAAACTAAGCAACTAGTAAAAGCCATTTTACCCATGGGTTGTTGCTCTAATTTGTCTTCGCTAAAACATAATTTTTAGTTTTTAAAACGCGTTCTAATTTTATTTTGATCATTTTTTAAACATTTTTATTGCAACGAATAAAATCAACTTTTTTGAAACAAATCAAGAAACAATATTTCGGCAACTACTTGAGGAGTTTGAGTTTAAATTAGTTATTTAGAAACCTAGAACCGAGTAAATTATTTTATTTTAAGCAAACCAACACCGCTACAAAGATTCAACCTGTCGTTGGTTTATGTTTGTACTCTACTGCTCTGATTTTCAATTGATTTTTTTATTACTAATTTTCTGGATTGCCGAGTCATTCTAAAGACAATGATTTGCCTCTTTTTCTGCTTTTATGGCTCTTTGGATGTCTTTAAAGTCATTTAAAAATTTAAAAAAAGTTTGAAACAAGAAAAAAAAATTTGATAGTTTTTCCCGATATGAAAATAGTGCAGTTTGCTTATTGCGGTCCAAAATATGATTACAGAAGCTTTGACTCTCACATTTGATTTTCAAGTTAAATAAAGAAAACTGGTTACTGTGCAAAAAATAAAGTTAAATAAAGATAGCTGGTTACTGTGCAAGTAGCAAAAAGTGTTCCAACCATAGTGATAAAAAATACAAAAACAATACAAGAACAATGACAAGAAAAAAAGAATCAAATAAAATGTTCAATTTTTTTTTCATTTTTTGCAAAGTTTTGAAATTTTGAAGTTCAAAAATTTTATTCAAACATCTAGCCATTAAACTCAGTTTTGATGGCTCAATTTAACCTATATTAAGCGAATAAGTGATTACAAAATACTATTGTAAACATGCTCGCTCCATTTGTTTGTGTCTTGTGATTTACGACAAAAACAAAAAAATTAAACCCGTTTTTCTCGATACTGGTTAAACTTTTGATAATTTTCACGGTCGTTCGTATCAGGACTGAAAGAGTTTTACTTTGATAAATCATTCGACTCACTTCGATGATTATTTGTGGTAAAAAATGATGACTTTGCGTGAAAACAAAAGGCCCGAATACAAATTTTCGACCCATTTTTCAAAAGCTCGGAATAAATACTGTTTTTCAAAAATCTGCTTTCTACGTTCAATTTTGGCTTCTAACAGATACAATTGTAGAAGTAAAAGGCACTACCAGAATCAAATAGCTAACTTTAATTCCGTTCAGACGGGTTTCCTGCTGGATATAACTGCTGCTCATCAATTTCCTTTAAGACCGAAATCTTATCATATCTTTTCCATCGGTTGTGAAACTTATCCGGTGAAATATTGTAGCTTTACAAGTGTTTGTCACATTTTTTTCGAAATCTGAACAAAAAATCTAGCTTTGTAGAAATTCAGTAAAAACTAATTGCTTTCGTATGTTTAGTTTGACGCAGTAGCAGGTTTAGGGAGGGGGGGGGGGGGGCGTCCCCTCAGGGATTCGACCCCCTCACCACCTAAAGGGTTTTCCTTTGATACTAGTGTACGTCATCCATTTTTGACCGAACAATTCTTAATTTTTTCTATAGGTGCCTTCGGCAATAATATACTAATTTTTAGGGGCATAGCTGCTTTTAAATTTTTTTTACGTAAGCTTTCAAAAAAGTGCACAAAAGTTTTTGTAAATAGCTTGAGTCTTGGATTTTTTTTCTACAAATTGGGGCTTTTTTATGATATCTCGAAAAGTAGACATTGTAGACCTAACGGAAAAAATCTCCTAGATTCGCCCCACGCCTGAAATACTTGCCGTGTCGAACCTGAAATACTTGATAGAAAATGGCAGAACATTCCAACAATCTTTTTTTTTAGCTGCGCTGCAACTGATTCAGTCAAATTCTGTGGAAACAACACGAATACCTGCTTCTGTAAATGACTTTTGCACTCTGATTTTGTGCAATGTGAAGTTGAAAAGTTTTCTTTCTTTTACAACCCTTAGTCGGTTTTATTGTTGTTCCCACCGATTGTTGTTCCAATCCGAGGAAAATCTTTGAATTTGAGCGTGTGTTCAACCATGGAAAACAAGTTGTTTCAAATGATCCTATTTCAGTCTTGATTTGAGATGCAAGGAGATTATACTGAGTCCAGAAAATTTACATAAAATTAACTAAGTAATGCGACTAAAAACGAACTAATAACAACTTCTTATTAACAATCTTAAAAAAAACGAGTTAATAATTAACTGAGAATATATCATACCTTTTAAATATTTCATTTTGCAAACATTCCTGTGAACCTTAAACAATTCGGTTCTACTTGCAAAGCAACCGATTGTTTTTCTCAAGTGATTTTGAAGCAAGGTTCAATCGTTGAACATTTTATAGTTTTTTCAAAAAAGAATTCAATTTTTTTTTGATATATTTACTATTTGTTTCCACAAATGCGCTCATATGCTACGGTTGCATGATTCTTGCCAAAATTTCCTGGTCGAAACATTTGCGTACATTTTTCCATGAAAATAGACTGAATGAGCAGAGTTTTTAGTACAATTGGTCCCTTACTGAAAAGATGGTCCCAAAGGCGCCCAATTAGAGGCCCAATATTTGAAATTTTGGGTTCATTTATCCTTTTCCAAGGCAAATTGGCTACCAAAAATTGGGCTAATTCAGCCCCATTTGTACAAAACAATTTTCTCTAGTGACTCGAACCGACTCATTGAGTAACCAAGAGCTCTGTGCTTTTTTTCCCACCAATCCTTAAAGTGACTGTTTTTTTTTTTGGTCTATTTGTATTAAAATTAGGAAAATGAAAAAAGCACAATTGGCTAAAAGTTGGGCTCATTCGGCTCCGTTTTCTGAAAATTGGGCCCATGAAAAAAATGGGGATCAAATTCGACTCTTTTTTTTTCGGCAATAAAATTTGTCTTTCCAGTGAGGTTCATCATCTATTTCTCTAAACTGTCCAGAAGAACTATCTTTTTAAGATATGATGATCATATCTTATCAAATACATTGCAGTTAAATAAATTCGAAAAGGGCGTGGAAATCTCGGAAAATTTCACTTGAAAAAGTTTGAAACTCAGGCGTCTAATTTTCAACTGTCAAAATTTGATTATATTTAGTCAAATTTATAGATTTTCACCTGATAACCGTTTGGATTTATTTTGCTGCTGTTCGCCCTCAAAACATTTCACAATGCGTTTCGATTAAAATTTACAGTTTTCAGTTGCCCTTTAAAATTGCAAATTTATAACTGAGTTGAAATTGCTCCTTAAAAGTTACCCCTAACGACCCAGTTTTCAACGACATGTAATAACATCTCAATAAGTGACGTTAGTTTGCATAACAAAAAAGGAGTCAAATAGCAGAAGCTTCTACAGGCCGGTTTTCTTGAACTGAAACATATATCATCTTACCAGTTACAAAACCTTATACCATTTAAATCATTTTTTTTAATCACTGTTTTAAAAAATATTTATTATTCAAAAATTGCTAGAAAAATTTCAAAAACTACATAATCTATCTAAAAAATTTTGCGCAGTTTTTCTAAGTTATGGCTTTAAATTTGAAGTTTAGGCTTTATGAATAACTTCAAAGTGTGAATCGATCTATTGATTGGTTTTATGGAACAGTGGATACAATGCTGCTTTAAATTATCCGGACAAAAAGCTTTGAACTTGAAGTTTAAGACGCTTTGTTCTCAAATTTGGTTGATTTTAGGTGAAAACTGATAATACAAAACTTTCTTAGACTTCCAAAAGATTTAATATATTGTACTTTGTGTTGCGAAAATCGGGCCCAAAATTTGACCCCAAAATGCATCATTTTTGCCCGTTTTTATCCCAGCAAAATTTACGCCAAAACCAATTTAAGTAGGGTATGATCTCCAGAACTTTGTATAAAATGTTTTTATTTTTCTTTGAGTGACAAAAAAGTCTTTTTTACTAAATAAAACATCAATTTCTTATATAAAAAAGAAATTTTGAACGTTTTGCACAAATTTTTTTTGAGAGTATACACTTCTTAAAATAGCTGAGCTATATAAAAGGTCAACTTGTTATATTCATATTAGTGAGCAAACCAGTAATTTTGGCGCAATTCTTGATTGACCTATAAAGTAAAAAATGATCCATTTTTATGGTAAAATTTGGGCCCAATTTTTGCAAAACAAATTATACCATATTACTTCTGCTGAATTTCTACCTCATCTTGTCATCGTCATTTTTTGTCAAACCAGTTAGAGAAAAAGGTATTTTAAGTTTCGTTTTCGATGCGTTATGTCCGGATAATTTAAATCAGCACTGTATCAATTTTCAAATTAATCTGTTTTCTTTTTAAATAAGTTCTGCCAGAAAACTCATCTGCAAGTAGTGAGCATGCCGAAAAAATAACCTGAAAAACCGAATTTTTTTCACCTTGATTGTTTGTGTCTGCACAATCACCAGGTAAGCGCTTCCGGCACTTTATGCAGAAGAAAATTAAGTTAGATGGTAAAAACGACAGGCAGCAACTGAGACTTATGTACGCTGTACTAATTTAGTGCCATACTATTCCGCGGCTTACCATAGTTACCATTTCAGATTTCAGCACATCTGAGATTTATTCTAAACTCTTTTCAAGCAGAAATGGTTTATTATTTTAACCGCTTTTTTACTACACTTGTCAAAGTGTTTTAAAAAGTATATTAGCTTTGAAATTCAATGTTATGTTTTCAATTTTTGCTTAAAAGCCATTTGCTTATGATCTTTTTAAAACGTCTTAGATAAAGAAAATCTACGATTTAGGCTCTTGACGGCAAAAAGACAGTTGATTGAAAAGCTTGCAATTTTGTTCAGATGTTTGCTTATGCATTTTTTTTTTATAAAAAAATGTTTTTCTATAGTTACTTTCTCCTCAAATATTTTTTACTGATTTGTTTGTTGAACTTTTTAATAAATTTGATTAATTTTGAGACTCTTAGTAATAAATTTGTATTTTAGGTTTATCAAGCTGCCCAAACTGAAGAAAACGTGAAAAATGTGAGCAAATTTGAACAAATTCTGCGACAATAATACCGTCAATTACATCTGGTTTAGTATTTGTACTGATTTTGTGTTAGTTAGCGGGCTAGAGATATTCTGGGGTAAAACCCTGTTAAGTATTTCCGCCATTACGAATTAGCCTTCCGTCACTGCTTCCGCTATTTGGCATTTGCAAATTGGCAGCTTTGTTACTCCATTTATACCAACTACAGTTTATTAACACTGTTCTCAGATCAGATCAACGGATTTTTATTTTGAATATTTATCAAGCCAAGAGTAACGATTTTTTAAAGAGTCAGTGTGTTCAAGTACTATTAAAAATTTTCCTGGCCGCTCTGAAAGATATATTTTTTGAAAAATGTAAGCTTTGGCTGAAATTCCTGACTACCATTGTTCCCTCATTAAATGGTGATTTCATCAATTTTGCTTTTATTAAAAAAAAAACTTGGACCAGTTTGTTCCATTGTTCTACGCTCGTGTTATGGCAGAGATTAGAACTCTTACTTGTCGGTCAAAAACGTCCAATTAACGGAACCTCAATTTTCTATATTGTGAAATACCCGAATCCATTTTCAGCTAATCCTAAAATAAAACGGAAGTTGTCTGCCAAAGTTGAAATTGTCAAACTAAAAAGGAAATTTGCTCTTTTACAAGGCAATTTGAACGCAGTTTCACGTGTGATTTTCCATCTTTTCATCAGCTGACTAGCTTTACCTTAGGTGATTTTAAAACCATAAAACAGCACAAAATTCTTTTTAACACCACACTCAGAAATCGATCAAAGACTCAATTATGACTGCAATATGTTTCACCTTTTTGGTTATAACCTGCTTATCTTATTACCAAATAAGCGCTACGAATAATGTGGCCACTTCGTTCGGCTCTCAAACTTCGGTAAAAAACCGAACTGTTTCGGCTTGCCCAGAACACTGCACTTGTACGCGGACGAAGTATGACGTCATTTCTGAAGTGGACTGCAGCTTCGCTATTTTACCCGAAGTGCCGCCGTTGCCGCCGAGCGGGGCACTGAAGCGGGTGAACCTAGCCGGAAACATGCTGGAAACGCTTCATCTGCAGTTTAGACACTCGACTGGAATCGAAACTTTGATGCTTAACTTCAACACGATTAATCTCATCCGATCTTGTAAGATTTTTTAAATAAAAAATTCTAAAATAGGAAGAAGCATGGCCTAATTTGAAAACTGATTTGATCTCGACTGAGGTCTTTTTAGGTATTTTTAATTGAATAGACACCTCAGAAACGGATTTAGGGGGAGGGCAGGGAGGGTGGGGTAACGGACGCCTTTCCTTCTCAGGGATTCGACCACCTGCCGACTCAAAGTGTCCCGTAGTACTATTTTGAGATATCCATTTTTGGCTGACTGACCCTAAAATTTTTCTTCGGCGCCAATATATACTAATTGAAAGGGGGAGCGCGCGCCGAAACAAACGCCTAAAAACGCTTTATTGGCCTAAAAACGTTTTTTCAAAATTTTGCCTGCGGCGCAGAAATTTTGACCAAACAAGGACTTTTTAGTACTTTAGAAGAGCTCGGAAAATCAATTTATTCGACCTGATAAAAAAAGGTCGACAAAATTTCGAACATTTTTGAAAATCCGCCCCGCGCCCCTCTAGAAAATCCCTGAGATACCTGAAAACTACTTGGCGATCTCTTAGTAGTACTGAATCTACTAAAGAGTGATTTTTAGGGATTTTTTTTCTGTCTGCAAACAATTTATTTTTATTAAAACACGGGATCGATTTGGATAACAGAAAAGTATCGAAAAAATGAAAAAATGATCATATTGTTTGAAAAAAGTTTTCACTTATATTTTCCTCTTCCCGATATTGAATTATGATTAAGATAAAAGTGCAGCACGCTATTCGAGAAGAATTAAGTCAATTTTATCAAAAAAAAATGCATTTTAAACTGTCAGCTCGTTCAAGGTATTTAATTCTTGGTTAGCTGTGGAATTCAAAACAAAATTGTTGGTTTTACTGTATTTACGTCCGGGTGGCCTTCTCATAGCGTAATTTTGGAGAAAGTACACCGTATGTTCGTCTTGCTATCTTACTTTCGGTCGGATAGATTCGTGCAATAGATCTAGTATATACTGGTGTTCTTGGTAGAGGAGAGAAAGAGGCAACTGATTTCTAAGCTATATTATATTTTCTCTGGCTAAAATTATGAACAGTTTCAGCTTTACAATTTACCATAAGTGTTAGTAATGGATCATGATTGGTTAGTTCTAAATAATTTACAGTGATAAATATAAAGTTATATAATAAATACTTTAATTAAATATTTGTTTTGAACTGGTTCCAATACTATAGTTTTGATTATGCAAAGACAGATAGTATGGTAAACACACAAGCCAGTGAGCACACAAATTTACCAGAAACTACTGAACGAGGGATTTTAAATTAACATACCACGGCAGGGAGAGATCTAGGATTTTCTCGAGGGAGGTTGTCGACTCTGTTTCGAAAATGTTGTCGACTTTTTTTAGGTAGACCAAACTGATTTTCTGAGCTCTCTCAATTTTGACCAAAGACCCTATTTTGAGCAAAGTTTTCGCGTCCCAGGCAAATTTTTGAAAAAAACATGCCAAAAAAGCGGTTTTAGGCCTTTTTAAAAAAAATTTAGCTTAAAAAACGCATTTTTTCGGAGCGCGCTCTCTCCCCTCAAAATTAGTATATTTTGCCGCTGAAGGCGCCTTTGGAAAATTTCAGGGTCAGTCAGCGAAAATTGGATATCTCAAAATAGTACTAAGGGGGGGGGGACATTTTGAGTCGGCATGGGGTCGAATATCTGAGGGGGGAAGCGTCCGCCGCCGCCCCCTCCCGTTAATCCGCTGGTGTACCATGATACTCATCTCCTAACAATCCAAAGAATTTTTTTCACAAAACTATCTGAAAAATCAAAATAAATAATCATCTTGAAATTTTTTTCAAAATAAGTTCGAATTCAACCAAATTTGAATTATATCTGCAAAATCCCGCGATATTATCAAGATATTATTGCAAAGTTTGTAAAATATTATCGATTTAAGAAAATTTTCTGTGAAATTATAGATTATAGCAATAAATTTCAATTATCTTAGCTCATGAAAATGAATTTTGGAGCAGATAATTGTCATATGAAAGCCCATAAACCTTCATGTTTGCATTGTTTGCATCAAGGAACGCAAGAAGTCAATAGCAAACCGATAGTCTCATCAGATGGTCTTCAAAAGTGAGCCAAAAACTACTCAAAAAACTACTCTTTTCTCTGAAATACTTTATACACCCATATTTTGCAAATAGCTGACCCGATTAAAGGTTTCAAAAAATATTATTTTAGTCCCTATAATAAAAATTTATCAATAAAAATATTTAGATTATCAAAGCAAATCACTTTCAATTATTTAGAGATCAATAAATTGTTACAGTCTTGATCATCAAATAAATTTAGCAAAAAATTAGTTTAAATAATCAATACTATAAACTCCACGAAAACTCATAAATCCGAATTCTCTTTCAAACAAGTTTTTTTTTAACTCTCCAGAAGCTTGAGTAAAAAAAATTTTGCTCCAATCGCACGTTCAATGTTGATCTTACCCTTTTTTGCCATTTTAAGACATCCATTTTCAAGGTGAGTTCAAACTGTGTATTTGTAAGCTTTGAGCAGATTCCGCAACGAGGATTGACAAGGCTGTATTAGGAATCCGCAGCAAGGCTGTTGTTTTTTATATCTTTTTCCTTTTCTGGAATCCAGAGACTGGTAAGGATTAAAACATTATACAGCCCCAAACGCTAGCTTGGTATTTTATTATTTTTGAGCGTTGTTTTGTTTTTTTTTGCTCGATTTTGTTTCTGCGACACGTTAAAAGTTCCGACGATGTTTACTTTAGAAGTATTTTTGTGGATTCCTCAACAACTTGATAAGTGGATTCCACTTATAATCTTTGACATGTTGAAATACCGGAGACAAGTCTCTAAACATGTCAAAAACCATAAGTGAAATCAAATCCACTTAGCAAACTGTTGCGGAAATCACAAACAAACACTTGACACATTCGAGGCGATGACTCCAGAGACACACACGCACTATTGTATTTTCGCCTCATTATGTTTGACTGACAACCAGAATAAACAAAAACGATAAAATTTGTCAAAAAGGGGTTTCAGGAAATAAGACGATCAGAAAATAACGGAGTTTAGACAACAACTTGCGTGCAAATTGCGTGAAATTCTTTTACAGACTTAAATAAATAGTTTGATTGAGTAAGGACTGGTTGTTCAATTTAGACAATAAATTGAAGCAAATTGCGTGAAATTTGTTTGCAGACTTAAACCGTCAAAAAGTGCTCAAAACAGCATTTTATGCAAAACAATTGCTGGCAGCGCCAAAAATTTGAAAAGTTTCGTTAGAATTAAGAGTACTCAAACTGATTTGCTTAAAAAATATATTTAATCCTTCTGATTGGTAGTTATATTCAAGAAGAGCGTATTTTGCTCATTTTTGACCTTGAACATCCGTAATTTTAGTTTTTTTTTTGTTTTTCAGTGACTGCCACTTGCTAATAAAGAGTTGAATAATTTACTAACCATTTTCCCAAAACCTTATGTTAACTGGTAATTGTTACATTCGTTTTGAAAATGGACATATATTTGTAACTGCGCTTTAGTCTTGTAAAAATTAGAAAAACAAATTTAAAAATAGTACGTAAAAAGTATCATTTGTTCATTTTTCGTTCATTAGTTTGTTCAACTCATATTACAAAAAAAACTTGAGAAAAACTTTTCATATAAGGAGCAATTGCAAATTTCAAAGCTAATTCGAAAAAAACTAACCCAAGCAGTTTTTACAACTAAACGGAATTCACGATGTTTGCTGGTTCACTTCTTTCGATTTTTTGTAGTTGAAAAGGTGAGGCGTTTACTCAACTGACAGTTTTTGTTGTCAGTTATTCAGACAATAATTGAAAGTTTTTTGTCACCAGAGTTTCAGGGTGTAAGCTTAGCTGCACATATTTAAAATTACTTGGGGGAGGATGCTAACTTGGGCCCAAGCTGGAACTTTTAGCCAATCAGAATCGAAAGTTTTGCATTCAGAGCTTATCAAACTCAATCAATTATCAATTTCTGGGTTGGAAGGTCTTAATTTGGTAACTCTTGTCAGAAAAAGGATGTTAACTTGATTCTCAAATTTCTTCTCCCTTGTTTTCGTTTAATTATTTGATTTGTCAGCTCCACGAGGCCATTGTCTCTATGGTTCACAAAAAAAGATTTCTACCATTTTTGCGGCCAGTTACTGCTTGTTGGATATTTTTGTAAGCAGTTATTCAGACAATAATGAATAATTTACCAAACCATTTTCCCAAAACCTTATGTTAACTGGCAACTGTTACATTCGTTTTGAAAATGGACATAAATTTGTAACTGAGCTTTAATTTTGTAAAAAACAGAAAAACAAATCAAAAATTAGGACGTAATAAGTATAATTTATTCATATTTTGTTCATTAGTTTGTTCAACTCAAATTACAAAAAAAAACTTGAGAAAAACTTTTCATTAAGGAGCAATTGCAAATTTCAAAGCTAGAAATCACATTGACGCTAGAATTTCTAGACTTCTAATTTTCGCTCTGAAAAATTCCACTCATTTGTTTTCAGTACTAGTAGACTTAGATAGCAGAAACGAATGATATTCGGAGTCCCTGTGGGCAGGACTCCAGTGCGACCAACATTTTTTGATAATTTTTATCTAAGAGCCGGAAGGCGAAATGTAACCGAAAATTTCAACAAATAGTTTCCAAGATGTAATTTGTAAGCAGTCAGCTCAGTAAGCAGACAATTTCGATTCTGAAAAATCTGATTGGCCTAAAAAAGATATCAAGTGCGATTTGGAAATAGTTATTTAAAACTAAACTATTTTTTTTAAATGGTTAGATAATTAAAAGTTACTTAATAATTTAGATAACGTTTTTAAAATAGACCAAGTTAAGATCCTCCACCACAGCGCTCAATTTGAATGAAACTTGCTAACCGCTGCTTGTAAAATGTTCTATTCTGATTGGCTGGAACTTTAAAATTAGAACCAAGTGAACCACCTGCCCCCTTAACAGTTTTGGTTGGAGGATGTTAACTGGGTCCAACGAAGATGCTATGAATTTTCTAGGGAATATTGGGGTGGTTTTTATGCAAACGAGAGGCGGACTACACTGCAAGTTTTTTTTGTTTTTTGAACTATTTGTATTTTTTTCAGCTTCTTTCGTTTTTTTATCTCTTTAACCATTTTGGTTTTTATTATCTTTTGAACTATTTGGTTTTTTCAGCTGCTTTCGTGACTTTGTTCAACTTGCAACTGCTGAATTTGGACCACAACAACCTCACTTCTCTGGACATCAAAGCATTCATGCGAATCCCAAACTCTTCTCTCGCCCTTACCATCAGTATTATGTTCAACCCCATAGCCTGTGCGTGCGACCTCGTCAACCTACACAACAGCCTAATTCTCGCCAAGCAGAATTTAAAACAGTTTCACTTCACGTGTTTAAATGACAGAGTAGCTTACTATAACAACAGGGACTTCGGCCGAAATGGAGATGGGACGAGAGATGAACAGGAAGACAGAAACTTCTCGAATCACGTGTTGCTTCGAAATTATGCAGAACGGCTCTGTGACGAAGAGATGCTTCTGGTTAGTCTTGGTTCAATCAAGCGCGGTTCCAAAATTGGCACTTTTCCAGTCCACCCTTTGATTTTTTTCTGAAATTCAATGTAAGGAAGTCTTTCTAAAATGACTTTTCATGTAATACACTGCTTTAAAACATGTCAGCGCGAACAGGTGAACAAACTTTTACAATATTTCTTGCCGTGTGGACAATTTTTGAACAATTTCCTCTTGTAATTTTACGAGGGGGGTGGGAAACTGGAAAAGAGCCCCAGATTTTTCTCGTAGGGGGATTTGCAAAAAATTTTCAAATTTTTTGTCTAACTTTTTTTTACATCGACCAGCTTGATTTTCCGAGCTCTCCCAAAAACAGGAAAAAGAGCTTACTTTGAGAAAATACTTAGCATCTCAAAGGGTGGATCTACGATTTTCTCGAGGAGGGGCGATAGTCAAAAACATTTAGAAAATTTTATCGATTTTTTTAGATTGACCAAGTTGATTAAACGAGCTCTGCCAAATTACTATAAAGATTCTATTTCAGGGTGTGATGAGGCGACATTTAGTACCTCATTGTTATATTGTCTTTTGCCAATGAGGCGACATTTAGTACCTCATTGTTATTGCCTTTTGCAGCTATGCTGCAGATATATTATACCAGTCCGCTCAAGGTCACTGGCTTGGCTTTTCTGAGTGACACACTGTGTATGATTCACTCTTATGTTCTTTATCATCGCTTGTTAGATGTAAACTTTATTCAACACTTTTGTTAAACATATTTCTATTAGTCAAAGTCTGACTAACTAAATCTAAACAACCAAGAATCAAAACAACTAATCAACTAATTCACTATTACGAACAACCTAGTTTTGTCCTCTAAATCTCGGCAAATGTCATGGCGCAGCCAGCAGTTCCTGTGAATGAAGACAGGACTGACCTGTTGGGTATTCCTCCGTTTTGGGCAAAACCTTCGATTAATCCGCCTTTTCTTTGGGAATCTTGGATTGGACAATTCTTCCTGGCAGTGGGGTTGAAAGATAATCTGAACCCGCAGGATGTATTAGCAGAACCCGTGGAGGTTATAGACGAACCACCTCCAAAAGCTGAGGCTGTAGGTGCAACGGAAACCGCTGCGGAGACCGATGCACGCCACCTCAGAGATCAGGCAGCGATTCGTCGTGTTAATGACTTCATTACCGAGCGCAGAAGGAAAGGCCCTAGAATAGGCCTAAATTGGTTTTATCACGAAGCAGAGGCTCGCCTGAAGTCACGTCTGTTTTTCGCTCTAGGAAACGAAGGAAAGCGACGCTTCGCGGATTCTTACCCGCATACGGACATAAGTGTTACCTCGTTTCGGGATTTTCACCAAGCTTGCGAAGTACTATTCAAGATAGAACGTGATTATTTTGTTGAGCGCATTAAACTGTACAATAACATCTTTATGTTGGAAAATGATACATTCTCTTCATTTTACGCTCGTCTCAGTGCTCAAATTGCCTTGTGTAATTGGCCACGTGCTCAAGAGAGGGATACTCTGAAAGATCTGTTCGTAGGACGAATTCGTGATGTGGATGTTCAACAGCAATTGATTAAAGCAAAAGCAAACTTAGAGGATACATTTCAACTCGCTCTGGAGTGTGAAAAGGGGGCTAGCACGTCGGCCCAGTTCCAAAAACTACTCCCGCATAACCAGGTTACCGGCATCAAGGTAAAACAAGAACCCACTTTCTCGATACAGTCATCTAGAGGAAAGCGGAACACTCCTCAGAACAACTATAATCGACAAAACACACAAAGTAACAAAATCAACAAAGCATGCTTATCTGTGGCAATCCTTTCAGTCTGGAACACAGAAAGTCGTGTCCCGCTCGAGAGGTTACATGCAACCTTTGCAAAAAACGAGGTCACTTTGCAAAATGTTGTAATTCATCAAGACGGCGTGTCAATTTGGTAGATGATAGTGAGGCAGTGACAGACCCCTCAATCGACTGCAACTTTATAGATACAGAGTATGATAGCGAACCTGAATACAGTGTGTTACAGCTAGAAAGTGCGGTTCAGATAAATACCATTGAGCTCCTCAGATCAAACAGGGGAAAACCAAGAAGTCTTAGTATTCAGCTGCGTACGGGATTGAGTTTTTTCTATTCAACTATCGACACTGGAAGTCCGGTCTCATTTATTAATAAACGTACTTGTGATTTAATATTACAACGCAACCCGTCTTTCCAATTTCGAGATGTGGCACGGTACCCTATAGACACTCTGTATGTCGATTACAATAAAAAGCCGATTCGCCTCCTTGGCTCAGTGTGTCTCCCGGTATCGTCTAGTGGTTGGAAAGTGGAAGAGGCTTGTTTCCTTGTCTCTGAGAACCGTACAAGTTGGGGCTAGACCTGCAAGAACAACTGGGTGTAGTGACCACCCAAATGAGGGCCGAACGTGTACAGCAACTTGAAGTTCAGAGTCAAGATCCTATCTCTGATTATTGGAGTTCTTTCTTCGCCAAAAAATACATGCATGTGTTTAATCGATTAGGAAGATCAAAAAATCACAAAGTGTTTACAAATTTCAAGTATCCTTTGGTACCGCGTCAAGTGAAGGGACGTAAAGTCCCAATTCACATCCAGGATAGAGTCGCTAACGAGATCAAACAATTGGTAAAACAAGGTCACATCGAGAAATTGGATAAATGTACAACCGATTACTCCATAGCACCCATCGTACTGACCGCCAAGAAGGACGGCTCGATAAAACTCGCCTTAAACGCTAAACCGATGAACGCGCAAATCTGGAAGAATAAATACCAGATGCCAAATATTCACGAACTTGTCGATTCGGTGGCCCAAATCATCACTAAAGACGTACCTGGCACTGTCTGGTTCACCTCGTTAGACTTGAAATATGCTTTCAGTCAGCTGCCGTTGTCATCATTTACCAGCACTCACTGTAATTTTAATATTTTGTGTGGAGATGCTACGGGGACTTATCGCTTTAAGACAGGGTTCTACGGGTTGACTGACATGCCGACTGAATTTCAAAAGGCGATGGATTGTACCTTGCACGGATTAGAAGGTGTAATCTGTTACTTGGACGACATCCTAGTAGTCACGAAGGGAGATGTTCAAGATCACAATAAATTGGTCGAGAGAGTGATGCAGCGACTCGATGAAGAGGGCTGGGCATTGAAATTCAGTAAGTGCGAGTTCTCAGTAAACCAGCTAACTTGGTTAGGTTACGTTATAAATGAGCACGGGTACTATCCGAAATTTTCAAAAATTGATGCGGTCCGATCACTGAAACCCCCCAAAACTTTAAAGCAGCTCCGCTCCTTTATGGGGACGTTAAATCATTTGCAACGATTCCTACCTGACCTACACACCTATACCGTTCATTTTCGAGAATCTTTAAAGGCATGCAATAAACAGTCTTTCCGTTGGGGGGAGGAACAAGATAATGCCTTCAAGAGTATTATAAACCTGTTGGCTAACATTCCAAACTAATTCCATTATGACTCTTCAAAAAAGTCTCGGGTAAAATGTGACGCTAGTCATAACGGGTTAGGAGCATGCTTGGAACAGGAAATCGAGCAAGGGGTTTGGGCTCCTACAGCGTTTGCCTCACGCTTCCTCATTTATGCTGAATCAAAATATAGTACGAATGAACTTGAATTGTTGGCGATCGTTTGGGCGTGCGAACATTTTCGTAGTTATTTGTTGGGAAATCGTTTTCAAGTACTAACTGACCACAAAGCCATCATTTCGGCGCTAAGCGAAAACTATAATAACAAATCATATCAGTCGCGCCTTTCACGTTGGGCGGACCGGTTACTACCCTTTGACTTCGAAGTTATCCACGTGCCTGGGGTTACGTTAGGCATTGTGGACTACCTTTCTCGACACCCAACCTTCTCAGCTCCAGCGCCATCAATATACGATGAACTTTTTGTTGTAAAGTCTATTGAGGCTTTTAATTCGGCCTTATCATTTATTAATGCATTCAATATACTTGATTCGGCTAATACAATACATTCGCCGTCGCAAGAGGTCGTTGTGCCTCAAACTCTGAAATCAAACCGTTTTCTCGACCAATCAAATCACGTTATGCAAATTCGCACGTACGATCTCTCACCGAGTGAGGGCGTTAAATCATATTGTTACAAAATTGACCAATCAGAAACCGGTATTCTAATTAATAATTGTAAACCAAATACGCTTGACTGGAATCATTGTCTCCGACCTGAATTGTTAAAAGATAGTTGCAAATATTCCTTCTCATCTTTTTCTAACTCAAATCAATCTCTTTTATTTCACTCATCTCATCTTTTTCACTACAACACGAATCTATCTAATCCTACTGGTTCCCATCCTACTGCATTACCACATTCTGCTCGTCAACATACTAACGATAAACCAATAACTCAACCAACTAACATCACTAAACCACATCCGTCACTTAGTTCAATGGAGGATCAAGCAGAACTTCTTTCTTTCGTCGAAAATTTCACCTTGAGTTCTCCCAACTTTAGAAGGCCGAGCCCGCGCCTTTCAGTAAGATCGCGTCAAGTAGGACGAATCTCTTGTTTGGACCAGGTGCGCCAACGTAATCGGACACGAGAGCGTGCGCGAAGACTCGATTTGTGGCTGCCAGAACTGCCTCTAGAAGGGAGGGACACACTCAGCTCTTGGAAGCTATGAAGAAATGCCGTTTGTCAAGACCGGGGAGAATTCAACTTGCTAATAATGTCGGTGTGTACGCAATCAATGGTGGCAAACCAATCGTCTCAGAGTCGAAGAAAGAAATTGTGGGTCTCCCAGGTTTATTCGATGCCGACCTCTTAGCTGAACTCACTGAGGAAGACCGATTTCTGGGCCCGATGAAACGAGCCATTAATAGCAAAGACGTTTCCAGTTTTAATAAACTCGGATCTTACATGGCCCAATTTTGGTCCAAAGCAGCGGTTGTCAACAACTGTGTGATTATTGACAACAAACTGGCCATCCCAGAGGTTTTGAGACCAGCCGTCCTTGCCCGACTTCATCGGTCGCATCCTGGTCAAGAGGCCATGATGTCCGCCTCAGAGTATATTTGGTGGCCGTTCTTGAACCGGCAGATAGTTGACACCTGCGAGAAGTGCCGCGAGTGCACACTGTATGGTAAGAACCTAAAACCAGTTCAAACTTTTCATACCGCACAATCTTTGCCCCAGTTGACGGGGCCAAATCAGGAATTGCAGTTAGATTTTGCTGGTCCTATTTTGGATGACAAAGGTGTGAAAACATTCCACTTAGTAGCCATCGATCGCTTCTCGAAATTTCCTTCTGTACTTATTACTAAAACCACTGGGGCTAAAAAGGTTACGAAATTTCTTGAATCTTATATCCGAATTCATGGGTTACCTCATTCTATCAGGACCGATCACGGCTCTGGGTTTAAAAACGACATGGTACAACAATTTTGTTCTAGTAAAGGTATCAAGCATATTCTCTCTCCAGTCGGAGACCATCGAGGCTCTGGTCTCGTTGAACGTATGATACAGACTATAAAACGCAAGCTAGGTACTGAACAACTGGACCCTAACTTCGGTAATTTTAAAGAAGTACTTCATCGAATAATAGAAGATATTCGTAAAAATAATCATTCTACACTTAAGAAGTCACCATTTGAAATGCATTTCGGACGTAAGCCCAATACTGAATGGTCCCAAGCTTTTCTTAATATAGTTAATTCTGATTCTTCAGCACAAAGACTTGAACGAAATCTCTTAACGCCGGACCAAATCGCCAGTCAGGACTATAGTCGAGATCGGGTCAAAGTGGTGCCAAGAGGTAGTCTCAGTCCTCAGATAACTCCGCGCTTCAACCCAATGTTCTCACTAGAGGGAAACATCGCCGAGAGTGAACCATACAAAGCGCTGGCTGATCTTGCCCGGGCGGCTAATATATGGACACAACAGAAGAGGAATCTTCCGCCAGATGGGGGAAAACGGGTCCTTCAGGAGCTGTCGAATCGACATTCAGATTTGGCCCAGTCATTGAAAACAGGCCTTTCTCGTAAAACGCTATGTTTCGCGGAAGATCGTTCAGCCACTACGCCTCCAGGGGCTCCGAATAATGTTCATCGTTTACCGACACTTCAACCCCGTCGACAGTCAAAAACAAGTAAACTAGAAAAGCTTCTTTTATCCGACCCTAACCGTGTGAGAGTGTTTAGAAAAATGATAGATCGTCAGTCTGGCAAACCTCTTTTTAAGCTTGCGAAATTCAAAATTACTCGCATCACCGATCACACCTATGTTACGGACAAGGGAAAAGTTTATCGCAAAAACCATGTCTGCCTTAAGCCTAACTTCAATAATACCTTTTCAGCAACACTAGGTGGTCGTCTTCAATCTTCTGGAACATCATCAAAAAGTGGGGGATCGAAACCTGTTACTCGCGCATCTCATCCAACGATGCTTGAAAAACGGCCAGCTAATACGAGCGTGTCACTACCGGCGGTGGTGGATCTTACTGTTGATTCGTCCAATGAGAGTCCTCCCGATCAACACGCTTCGCACGAAACTCGGCTATCTACTCCAAGGGAAAAACGAATACGGTTGAATGACGAGTCACCGCCTGTCACCTTTGGCAACTCATTCCTCACACCGGGTCAGTCTTCGCTAGATACTAGTGTGCCTCTACCGCCTATCACTCAGCCTGTGGTCCCTACAACTTTGGTTCACAGCCCTACAACTTTGGTCACAAGTCCACATCAACTATCACTTGATGTCGTCGACCCCGAGGGTCCGGATCTCCCAGCTCGTCCAGTTATTCAAGCAAACCCATATTCGTCGCTTCCATCGCTCTCTCTCCCAGCTCAACCGGCTACGGATGATTCAGAGGGAACTCGTACTTCATCTCGAAGCAAAAAGGCTCCGAAATTCTATGGCGACCCACTACGACACTCGGTTAAATGGGTAGAAGAAGAAAAGTCGCCGGAAAATGAAGCCGCCATATTGCCTACCATAAGCGCCCAACCATCGTCGCAGTCACCTAAACGGCGACCTCTCATTCGGGACCGTTCGCATTTAACTCCTCCGGAGGCGCCATTCCCATCCTCGCTGGATAAAGCTCAGGACGAAAATTGATTGCAGCTAAAACTCAATGTCAAACTCTCAATAAAACTTCGTATTTATCTTTAACTTTGTCACCATGCATTTTTACGGGATAGGGGTGCTATCTAATATTAATGCTTAGGGGTGCAGTTTATTTATTTAACTTTGAACAATTCTTGGTTTCTCCAAAAAATTTTTCCTTTCCGCGGGGAATGTGATGAGGCGACATTTAGTACCTCATTGTTATATTGTCTTTTGCCAATGAGGCGACATTTAGTACCTCATTGTTATTGCCTTTTGCAGCGATGCTGCAGATATATTATACCAGTCCGCTCAAGGTCACTGGCTTGGCTTTTCTGAGTGGCACACTGTGTATGATTCACTCTTATGTTCTTTATCATCGCTTGTTAGATGTAAACTTTATTCAACACTTTTGTTAAACATATTTCTATTAGTCAAAGTCTGACTAACTAAATCTAAACAACCAAGAATCAAAACAACTAATCAACTAATTCACTATTACGAACAACCTAGTTTTGTCCTCTAAATCTTGGCAAATGTCACAGGGGCGGCTTTTTTGGGGGGGGGGGGGAGTCAAAATTTTTCAAAAAGTGCCTAAGAACACCAAATTTGTACCAAAACAGAGTCTTTTTAGTGCTTTAGGAGAGCTCGAAAAATCAATTTGGTTGGCCTAAAAAAAGGTCGACAAAATTTTCGAAAATACTATATATTGGCGGCAAACGTGCCTTCAGAAAAATTAAAGAGTTAGTCAGCCAAAAATGGAGATCTCATTGTGGTACCAAAGGGGGGACCTTTTGGTGGTCAGAGGGTCGAATCAATGACAGGGGGGAGCGTCCGCCCCCCTAAATCCGCAAGCAAGTTTTTGAAGAAACAGCCAAAAAACGACGCTGTTTCTGTAGTTTTTTTTTAACGCTCGTTTTTACCTCAAAATTAAAATATATTGCTGGCAAAAGAACTTTGAGAAGAACTTTAGGGTTGCGTGGCCGAACTTAGATTGGGCAAACGTAAGCCAGCGTCGATGGTGTCAAATATGAGGCAATTTTTATCACTAAATTCGCCACTGGATTAAAATCAAACCCCAATAAGAGATCTGAAAAATGAAAGTGGCAATAAATAAGGTTAAATTATACACTAAAAATTGAGCTGTATCTTCAAATAACTACGGCTAGCTTGTCAATGCAAAGCTGCTCAAACGATCGAGCTTAAGTACTACCATTCAATGAATACGGTGTGAAGTTTTTGCTCATAATTGACTTTATCAGCCTAGCTAAAAATATATATAAATCTATTCATGGTGTTTTTCATATCTGGCGTATCTCGAATCTTTAAAAATTGGTCACATCTAACTGTTTATAGCTTTTTTAGCCCTTTAGCAAAGAAATGTCCGGTCGAAATCGTGTCGCCACTCTGGACATAATTGCCATCGTTCTTATCACTGGAGTTTTTCTGCTATTCGTTTTACTGGTAATTTATTTTGGAATCTACAAAGTATGCAAACATATGCGACGCCAGAAGAGATCCAGAAATGTGCCTGAAAACTTAGAAAACGCCAAAAATTTTGATCACACCGACGCTGCGCTGGCCAATGGAAACATGCACATTCACGGAAACGGTAAAATTGATGCCCAAGGCAATGGTAACATACACGTTCAAGACAATCATATGGACGAATTAGTTCATGAATTTCAACTAAACCCTTCATCGTCTTTACATTCGATGCCAGATTCACCCCCACCCCCGCGACCACCCGCAAGGGCGGTACTTTCAAAACAGCACCCGCCGCCGAAACCTCCGAAGCCCAGTTTACCAGATGGGTTGTATTCAGTTGCACTTCAAAGCGAACCAACCAAACTTCCGATGTTGGTTCCTACCAAAGTACCAATTCCAGTTCCACCGGGAGGCGGGATCCTTAAAAACAACCCGAATTCCAGAGGCGCCCAGTCTCAAAACAGCGTCGATTCTTATGATTCCAGGAACGGTAATCGAAGAATAATGGTGGATGCCGGGTTCAGACATTCGAGTAGCGAGAATAATTACAAAACAGTCCGAATGCCAGAGCAAGTTGCAATCGTTCGGCAAAGTCCGAGTCGTAATACTCCGTCGGCCGAACCATTTCCAATACCGACTCCAGCTCGGAAAAGCCGAAGTTTTTACATGCAGACCTCAGTTTGAGTTTTGCGGTAAACATATATCAAACTTTCGATTTTAATTCGATTTGATTTCAATTGAACTTATGCGATTGCGATTAATTGCTGATACAAATTCTTCCGTTTAATAATTTTTTACCCTGATTTGCTGTTCCATTACAAATGCAATTCAAATACTCTTAGTAAAAAATTACTTAAGCTTCAGCTATATGGTTTTTAAAGATAATTATGAGAAAAGAATAGGTTATTTAATGACCAAATTATTTTTGTGACAACTCTTGTAGCTTTGAATGCCTCTTTTTTCTCCAAAAACAAATGATCATTTTCGGGAGTAAAAGGAGAATTGACAAAAACAGTACTAAATTGTCCTTTTTTATATATTTTTTTGGTCTAACGTAAATCAGTTCCGGGTAAAAATCCTTTAGATGGTAAAGGCTTCGAGTTTTACAATCTGGGCGTGTCCAGAAAAGGTTGATCAAAATTAAACATCAAGCTGAACAAAACTTAAGGTCACAGCTAGCGATTATTGCTCATATAAATAAAGGCAGTATTCAAGTTGGTCAAGGTGGTTGACGCATAATCTTGAATTGTCCAAATTTCATTTAGAAGTCAAATCTTCTAATAGTTATTTCGCAACAAATCACGACATTGATAAATAATTTTGCCGCGTTTTGCGAGAATAACGTGAGACAAATTCATGTCATGAATAACCTCGGGGGAGAGAGATCTAATTTAAAACCGAAGGCGAAGAGGTTGAGCCTAGTTTTTTTTACTGTAGTAGATTTAAGTGGTATTAAATCTCCTCTTTTTTGGGGACACGAGGGCAAGTTTCATCGCTGGTCTCGTTAGAACATCTAGGGTTGTTTTCAGTTCACACCAGCGCCCGTTGGTTAGATACCTCGTGGTGTAAAGTCCTCAAGTATCCACACGAGGTCATGTTTTTCGAGTAGTTTGAGGGATTGCGTCCATTTAGTCTTTTTGAAGAGAGTCGGAGCGTATCCTTTAAGTAGACGACTCCAAAAGCTATCTTTTGCTCGCTTCCAGGACAGTTTACTGGTAGATGCTTCGTAGAAAGCTGCTGCCAGAGCGTAGACAAATGGACGACCCATTAGGAAGCGGTTGGGTGTCAGCGGAAGGTCGTCATCAAGATCATGCGTTAGCGGACGGAATTTGAGGATTGCCTCAGTCTCGGCTACAATAGTAGCAAGTAAATCTCTTGATATTCGATCAGAACCGAGGTTTAGTAAGAATGCTGGTTTTATCATTGACACGAGTCGCTCCCACACGCAGCCAAAATGGGGGGCTGACAGAGAACTTACGCGCGATTCAATATTGTGGATTTGTAGCGTTTTATTTAGGGTGGTTTCGTTGAATTTTATTGGTTCTGAGCGTAGTTGTTTACGGGTGCCGACGAATTAAGTAGCGTTGTCAGAGATTAAAAGCTTAGTTGTGCTTCTTTTAGCAATGAAGCGTCTAATTTCCGTTATGCAGTTGTTCGTAGCAAGATTATCTGTCATTTTCAGGAGAACCGCGCGAGTAGAGAGGCATGTGAAGAGGCATTTGTAGCCTTTTTCAGTTGTATCCTTTGATGCGATGATGTAGAATGGCCCTATGTAATCAATTCTTGTTTTTTGGAACTGAAATGGATTATCAGACAAATCGTCGAAACGAGTTGGCGGCAAGTCGGCCATGAGTGGATGTTACCCTATGCCTTAGAATCTTTTACAGAGAAAGCAATTTTGTCTTATCTGTCTGAGTGTTTTTTGGAGCCCAATTATGACTTTTTTGCAGGTAGTTGCGAATGTACTCAGTGCTGTGATTCCTGTAGCGGCCTTGGGCGCTCTGGATCATCATGCTCAATATTGGTTCCTTTGCATTTAGAACTATTGAATGTTCTGTTGCGTCCGGTAAAGATGCGTTTTGTAGTCGTCCTCGAGCGCGAATATTACTGTTGACGGGAAAAGGTGACAACTGTTGCAGTTTGTCTTTGTTGTGAGCTTGCTGCTTGATTCGTAGTTGATTGTAGGTGTTAATAAAGGTTTCCCGCTGGGACTATTGATAAAGCAGGAGCTTGGCTTTTTCTAGGTCTTCCATAATGGCTGAGCGCTTACCGTTTGACTTCAATGTATCGACAAAAAGTATACCGCGAGCGGTGACCCGAATTTATCGAAAAAATTTAAAAGTCGGGAAAAATTTCATTAGTGATGTAGCTGAGGGGTTCCTTTCATTGTATCGTTCAGCCTCAAGTAGGCTCCTTGTTGACTAGAAGTTGTGGTGCATCTAACCAGAGCTTTGGTACGTCTTTAAATTGATTTTCCCGGGTAGCACTATCTGCTGGGTTGAGTTCATCAGGGTTGTGTTTCCTTTGTTCGGCTTTGCATAACGTAACTAGTTCATCAACTCTATTTACGCAGTAAGTTTTCAGTTTACGGGTGATGCGATCCAGGACAAAACAGTAGTTCTATCTGCCCAAAAGTGAATGGAGTGGGACTTCATTTGCTTTCCAGCAGTAGCAAACTTCCACAGCCGCGCGCCCATATGAGCGGCTTGTAATTCCAGTTACAGAATCCTCTCTTGGTTCAGTCGTGCTACCTTTGTTCTGCCAATAAAAAAAGAGTGTGTGCCAGAGCTACTTGCAGTTCGGAAGTAGAAACCGGTAGCCATTGCTTCTTTCGACGAGTCGCAGAAAATACGAAGCTGTTTATTAGTAGGTGATAGCCTCACAGCGGGGACTTGTTTGCTTTGGTCGACCCATTGCTCCATTATGGGAAAATGTCACTGGCTACAGGTTTCGTAGAAGAATTTTAATCTTCAAGACAAATGCGCTTATTGGACGAACCTAGTGGGTCGAAAATCCTTGCTACTGTAGAGAGGACTGCTCGGAGTGTAGACGTTGTAAAACTAATTACCTTGGTTATTGACTGCACGAATATCGTATCGACTTGAGGAGGTTTTCGGTTCAGTGGGCCTATCTTAAGGAGGATTTCAGTTGTGTATTAGATACTCTAGCCTCGTTTGTCGTGCTGAACGATTGAACAAAAATGTCCAAATAAAAACGTTTTTATAGAGCAGCTAAGCAATATTGGGCTTAGTTACGCAGTAATCGGCAGCTGTTTGTTGATGCGCAAAATGGCAAACGATGGCGAGCATTTTGCACCAAAGATAAGTCGCATGTATTGCTTTTGCTTGATACCGTTTTTAGTAGGCTTAAGGAAGCGTGCATTTTGATCTTCATTCTTGATATCTATTTGCATATACTTGCCTTCAATATACTCCGATACGGCCACAGGTTTTTCCCCGGAATCGTCGTAGAATGTCAAACATGTTGTTCAGGAGATCGAATCCATATTCAAAGCCAGAGTTCAACGAGGCGCCTTTGTACGTCAAGGCAGCGTTGGTTACTCTGCGTACCTTCCTAGGCTTGTTTTGATTACTCACCGGGTAATCTGGTAGGTACCAACAATTCTGGCTGCCGGCTTAGATTTCTGGTAGAGTGGGCCAGTGATCGTCCAACCTAGTAGATTTTTGACATTGTAGGGGGTGCCTGTATGACCTTTCCTGATATCGCGCTCGCAGTATTCCAGAAAACTTCTACGCACTGTGTTATTGTCTAGATCAGGGCATTTCGAAGCTGATTGTAGAGTGAGCACGTTCTGTTAAGGTTGTTTGCATCGATGGTGTTTAAACTCAGAGTTTCAACTGAGTAAGTTGACTGTAGAAAGTAGGTTTTGTAGCGTTATGTGGTCCGATACTTAGCCGGACCAGAGAGGAAGAAACGTTTTTTTACTGAAATCACCTCGTAGGACAAGTTGCAGTTGTTGGCTTGGTTTACACTGATTCATTTCAGCTGCTTTGTTGAGGATGTATGAGAAACTGCTGCAGTTGTCGAGTATGGCGTAGCAACTTAGTTTGATGTCATTAATAAAAGTGTAACCTGCTTAAGTTTTAACTGATTTCTGATGTTACTCAACTTTTCGATTGCATCCAAATCTTGTTTCAAGGACTCGGTTACTGTAGTGCCAAGCTGCATATTATTTGATATTTAGTCGTTCATTTGTCGAACGACTAAATATTCAGCTTTTCGTCGATGTTTAGAGTTGAATGGTTTATCCTCCGCAGTTGTTGATGAAACATCGTTTAGCCGATGTGCATTCACTAAATCTGTGTTGTCTTAAGCAGTTGAAGCACAGTTTATGTTGTTTCACCAGCTCTGCCCGTTAATCTACGGTCTACGGGAAGTTTCAAAAATTGCAGACCTTTTCTAATGTAGTGGGCTTGGTTATATATTGGGCGTGTTAAATTGGTTGGTCCTGTCGATACTGACACCTGAATATCTGTCGTAGTTTAGCCAGGACACGTAAGTAAATTTGGGGTCGGCTGTTGGAATTTTGTTGCTTCGTAGGTTGGCAATTTTGTCCCGCTTGGTTTGAAGTCGATGATTCTATGTTTAGGTTCTCGCATGCTCGCGAGTACGTATTCAGGTACTGCGTCAAGCTTTTGTGTGTAGCGTGTAGCGTAATCGAGTGTAGCGTAATCGAGGCCTTGCGCACGCAGTGTTCTTTCCACGTCATTAGTAGACTTACTGGGTGATTTGAGCGGACAAATGTAGCCGTTGAGAATTTAGACTAGCGGGTGTAGCCGTTGAGTTTGAGTTGTAGATTAGTTTTCGTAGGAAAGCAGTGTATCTGATAAAGCCTTTGTGTTTCGCTCAGTATCAATGTTTCGAGTTCCTTGATGAATGCTGACACCACATTTGTCGGGTTACCGTATCTACGCACTAATTCAAGTATTGCCTGTTCGTAGTGAGAAGAGTTGGCTCCGTAGCTCTTCATTAAGGGTTTGACATAAATAGTGCATAATGACTGCAAGTAAGTAAGTTTATCAACCGGGCTTAGACCTGGATTGGTGCCTATAGCAGTCTGAAAGAGTTCGAACCAGTTGTACCATTCCAGTGGGTTGCCGTCAAACTTCTACTTTCATATTTGTGATTTCAAGTTAGTCCTATGTGGTTGTTGAAGTGGTTGGCAACGAACTATTCAGATGTAGTAACAGAAACTGAACGCAATTGAAGATGTTAGCTGACCATATCGGTTATTACTAGTTGACATATGGGCTTTGTGTATTGAGTTTTAATTCTAAATGAAATTTTCATTGGAAACTG